CTAACAAAAACCTTTGTGAACTGATCTCATGAGAAGTTATAACATTTTCTCGATACGCTGTTTTAATCTAATGTCTAGAAACTTTCGGTCTGCCAGTCGAAGTCGTTTTACAAAAGTAAAACAATTCTTGGCACAAGAAATTGGTTTGAAACTTTTTTTCTTGATATCAGTACATCACTTCTCACCATGTATTTATTTCTATATTACAGATTATTAACTAAAACAACACTAGCGCGATCCTTTCTCGGTATGGCAAGACCTATTGACTCACGTTATGCGCATGATTTAGCATTTTATACAAGCCTGGTCAAAATGAAAGCAAAAGCCCCGATCAATCTGAGCTGTAGTACATGTAAATGACGTTGTTAAAATAATTACGTTATTTACCTTTTTAAAGCTGAGCGTCAAACAGACAACCATCAATTTTTGTACTCAAAACAACTGGGGCGAATAATGGGTCATACGACTGAAAAAAATTCGTTTATTTATGAACTGTTACTTCGGTTTGCGGCTATGGCCAGCGAGACTTGAATTTCCCTGCAATGCCGCCTGTTGTTCGCTGGCGAGTAAAAAAAGTTATTCATTTCTTAATGTAAATCTGTGTCAGGCGTCTAATTGTCTGGACTATTCGACACTTTTTAGCAAAAAAATTGGAAATAAAACCGGGAATCATATTTTCTAAAAGGGACAAGAAAGGGAAACTATTAAATGTAATAAATAAATAAAATCGGTAAGACAGCTACAGTTTTCTGAGTTTTCAACTGTTCTTGAGGCTTTTCCGAGTTGTTACCCTATTGGCATAATTCCAAGGTATGAAAACAGCTCTTATCTTTTCATCGTACCTCGTTTAATTTTTCAATTTTCTTGTTAAAATCAACTGCTTTCTAAGAACATCAACATGGAGGTTTGTTGCTCCTTTAAGACATTAGTTGGAGGGTTGTGTTCCTTTGATCGGAGAGACAAAAAACAGTCAACAGAGATAGTGCCGCTTCTGTCGTGCAGTAAAAGTATAACTAATCACAAGTCACTCTGGAATTTTCAAGAGGTGGACAACGAAGTAGAACTGATCCTTGCCCGTGCTGCTGTGTTTTCCATTCAGGAAAGTGTCCAAACAATGACAATTTGCCCATCTCATCGATCTTCCTTAGGTATAGGATGGACACGGGGAACCGATAGGTGTAGCGTTCCATACGAAATATCCAAACATAAAAACATAAGACGCAAATGTCCTAAAGCAGACAGAGGAATAAGCAAATTATTTTCGCATGTTATCTGGAATAAAACAGGACTATTGGTTTCAGTAGGATCAGGTAAGTCCAACGATCAACATTTCACTTGTGTTCATCTAATGTAATATATATATTATATAATGAGACTCAAGTCTAGCGGTTATTATTTTCAGGTGTTTGCAGATCGTGTAGGTAGGTTCTGACCTCCCTTTCCAAGGAGACTAAGCTTCCAAAGCAAATTAACGAATCTGTTGCTAGTACGCATTGTGAGGAAAGTGCTGTTGAATGTAAAGAAACTTCACCTGTAAGTTGACAACTGTAATAGTTAACTAAAAGTATTAGATCGCTATCGAATGAAATGCTCCGAAATTAAAAGTAGGTTAAATAGTCCGCAGTAGAAAAAAAAGACAACTCCCGACCCTGTCCCCCGTCAAAACATAGCGTCGCGCGCTTAACACGCGAGAAGCGAGAGATTTTTTTTCTCGCGTCTTGACCTCTTGCCGCGTATTTTTCGTGCTTCCCCTGCCTATCTCTGGAAAACGCTCAATGAGGACACTTACAAGGAAGCTTATTTCTGTACAGGTCTTTTATAAGTTTTGTTTTTGAGGAGGGCGGGAGGGGGCGGAGTGGAGGTCTGGAGGTGAGCAGTCACTTTTTTTGAGCGTTCAGCATGTTTTTATCCCTTTTATTCAAAACAAACCGGTCAAATAGTAATAAGTAACAAATATTTCCTACACATGCTCACGTTGTTCAAAAGCAAATGATTCTTAAATAGTATCATTAAAATTTGTTCACCTTAATTAAAATCAGCTGTCAGCACGGAACCGAGATCTGGTGCGAGGGCGTGGCGCGCGAAGAACCTGAATTTGAGCACTTTGAAAGTGCAACTTCCCCCGCAAAACTTCATATCTTTTTTTCATACTTATTCCTTACTCCAACGGCAGCACTATATCATTGTTCAGGACAAAGTCCTTGTTTTATCATCAACATCATCATCATCGTCATAAGATCAGGATCATCATCATTACTGTCATCATCATCATCATCATCGTTATCATTATTATTTCTAGTATCATTACAGTTATCATAGCCGTAACCAGCATCACCATCACCATCTTTATCATTATCATTTTTCATTATCATTATCAATTTGGCTATCGTGCGGAAGCTTTGACATAGCATTATTGCTATTGCTGACAAAAAATTACGAGTACTACGGAGTACGTTGGTGAATTCAAAAGCAATACAAAAACACTTCGCCTCTGCGTCAGTCGAGCAAGAGAGCGTTGATAGTGCTCTTCTGGAGTCATTGGCAGAATGCTATAATAATGCTACCCAGTGGGACACGTGCCGTCAAATACTGTCCATTATGGTGGACAAAATCAGTCTTAAGTCTTTGCAACAGTATATTCCAGATATTACTCCATATCGTTACAAGATTGCCAAACAGCACGCACTCCTGCATGGTAGAGGTTGTCCATTACCAAAGCCAACACAAAGGAGGATGCGCGTCCCTCCAGAGATGGTTGACCACTTTATTTCTTTCATAACCAAGTCAACACATAATTCAGGATTTGCCATTTGGGCAGAAACGACTTAAATTGTCGAGTGGCAAAGTACTCATTGTGCCTAATGTTATCAGAAACATGGTACCAGAACGCCTTGTGCAGCAGTATCAAGCGTATTGCAATGAGTCAAGTTTACCTTGTCTTGGCCAAAGCGCTTTGCTTTGAATACTCGAGGTCTGCTCCGCTTCTGTACGAACATCCCTACAAGGTTTAGACTACTTTACCGCTTCTGGGGCTAAAAAGTTTGATGATTTGGAAGATGCAGCTGATACGCTAGGAGATCTCGGAATGGGGATGTCATGGGCACAGCAGCAAAAGAAACAACTCAAATTAGCGAAGCAGTATCTGAAAGGCGACTTCAAGGTAACTTGAATGACAGATATTGGCTGCGGTCACATCTGGGCTACTAACTATAGTTAAGACGGGGATAACTATTGTTATCTATTTCGGTAATGTGACCGCTTCTCTGTTCACTCTGACTATCGTTAGAAAATTTACGCTTCGGTGATCCAAAACAATACAGACTAACTATAGCTATACCCAAGTAGGGTTCGTGGGTTACTCTTAAGTTTACAAACAACCAACCGATCAAAATGTGACACTTCTTTTCGCACGTGCGAGATGAGCATATATAAACATGCAACATAAAAACCAAGTGTGAAGCGAGGGGGAAACCAAAAATAACAAACAAAAATTTCACATAGGCTAATTAGAACTAACTGTTGTTAACTGCGTGCTGTGACCGCAATGTCGACCGAAAGCACTAACCACAGTTGGGTATGACATCACGTAACTTGACACTAACTTAAGTTAAAGTTTAGTTACGTCATAGATGTGACCGCAGCCATTACGTCTGAGCAAATGAAGACATGAATGTATATAAAGCATTTTTATGTATCTATTTTAAGGTTCATGTTTCCAAGACGTCCTCTTTTGCGGATCACTGCAGAGGCTTTGCCCTCAGTGATACTAAAGACGATGACCACAACGATATCTGTGATCATGTTCATAATGGCGTATGTGATCGTTGTGATCTTGTACAGCGGAGCGTGTGCGACGTTGAGGAAGCTATGAGCCACGTCACTACGACGACAGAGGAGCTGCAGGAACTAAAGTTTATGGTGGAGCAAGCTAAAAGCAGCATATTGGCTTGGAAGGCTCACCTCCTGCGCTCAGTAAACCAGGATGAAGCTAGAGTTGACGCTGTTGAAGAACTAAGTAAAGATTCAGTTTTGCTTGTCCAAGACTGGGCAATGAAGTACCTGCCACGTCAATACAGAGAGAGCCAGACCAATTGGTTTGCAAAGCGCGGGATCCCCTGGCACATAACCGTGGTGATACGACGTGCTCCAGCCTCAGATGTACTCGAGACAATGACATTTGTTCATATATTTCCAAGTTGTAGCCAAGACAGTTTCACGGTTCTAGCTATTATGGGTGACGTTCTAAAGAAACTGAAGAAGGCCATGCCAAATCTGGAAAATGTATTTTATCGTCAAGATAACGCCGGCTGCTACCATAGTGCTTCAACGATTATTGGTGCCAAATTGCAGGCAGAGAAGGCTGGGGTGACCTTGAAAAGATTAGATTTCTCAGACCCTCAAGGGGGAAAAGGGGCATGTGACAGGAAGGCAGCCAGTATCAAGTCCCACATGCAAATCTTCCTTAATGAAGGCCATGACATCGAGACCGCTTCCCAGATGAAGACGGCAACTGAATCTTCTGGTGGAATCCCCGGTGTAGTTGTCACCGTGGCAGAGACTCCTCAGCGGCAAACAGGAAAGAATTTGACGTGGGACGGTGTTAGCTTCATAAACAATGTCGAGTACAACAGCGAAGGAATGAAGGTATGGAAGGCATACAACATAGGACCTGGTAAAGTGGTTCCCTAGAGCAAATTTAACGTATGTGTTGATGACCAGCCATCTTTGATTGCTAATCATGAAACAGAACAAAACTTGGATCCGCAATTTGTTGCCGTGAAGCCAAGAAAAACTGCAGATCCTTCCAAAGCAATCGCAGCTGAGGTTGAGGAAGATGATGGAGGCTCAAGTGGAACTGATGACGATTCAGGTTCTAAGTTATTTTCATGTCCAGAAGAAGGGTGCACAATGTCCTTTCAAAGGTATTCCAGTTTAGAACAACACATTCAGTGTGGTAAGCATAAAAGGGCATTGGAGCATAAACGCTTCTCGACAGAGCAATGTTAACGTATACCTTTGCTCTTGAAAAGCCTGGGGTATCAAACATTGTAATACCGGCCAAAGAGGATTTTGTGACAAGAGAACACAGTTCAGATGCTCCGGGTTTCTCGTCATACATGGGGTGGGCTCTTAAAAGTTCCTTCTCCCGGAGCACTAGATTTAATTCCAGTCAGAAGGATTACCTTATAAAGAAATTTGGAATAGGAGAAAAAATCGGAAGGAAACTCGATCCTGGAACTGTTGCTAAAGATGTGAGAGCTGCTAAAGATCCTAACGGCAAGCGTTTGTTCAATTGCAATGAATTCCTAACCAGTCAACAAATCCAGAGCTTTTCAAGATTAGCATCTAAACGAACTGTTGATGTCATAACTGAAGAGGATAAAGAAGAAGAATGCAGCGCTCACCAGGAGGAAGTGCTGAGCAGATTGAGAAATGAGGTATCTGGTGCAGTAACCATGCCGCATCCAATCATGTTTGATACATATGATATCTGTAAACTAGCCTCTGGAGGCACACTCAAAAGTACCTTTTCTGTATCGGTTTTGCGCGATATCTGCCTCGCTCTTGGTATAGATGTCTCCCAAATCATGGTGAAACGAAAGCAGCCATACATCGATGCCGTTCTGGAACTAGTAAGCACATGTACCTGCTCGAGTGGACAGGTCAATCCAACTCTGAAATAAACAATTATTCAGTGAATGAAATCATCTGGAAAAAAGATGCTCTAGGCATGTTTAACATTGGCTCAGAACACCTGGATTTTGTCTTGCTATTGACTGGAGTTTGTTTGTTTGTTTGTTTTGTTATTATCTATCTTTTCTAATTATCGGAGGAGTGTGTGGGGAGCGGAAGGGTGAAAAATTGTCAAATTTCAGGGGCAAGAGAACTGATAATGCCGAGTTCGAAACCCTAGCAAGAAGTTTCTCATCAGAGCGCCAACCCACAACATAGAAATGCTGTAAAACACCTAGCCATATGTTGCAAAGGAATCCACCCTTTTAAATCGTTGAAAGAAAGAACATCGAAAAACATGGACTTTAGGAAGATTATATGCTGCTAATAACACAAACAAGGGAAAAAGCGTAATCAATTCAAAAGACAACGAGCAGGCGTAATGCACCTATCAATGTCAACAAGCTGGCAGTGCGGGTGGGGGCGGGGAGGAGCGAGGCAAAGGGTGGAGATCTCACATTTTTAAAAAATTTGCCGTCAAATTCCCTACCCACAGGCAAATCATTCCAGTCAAATGTAACCAAATTTCCCCACCACGGGCTGCACCTTGCTGTCAAATAACGCACGGCTGGACCCAAAGGGACAATAAAAATATCTCAGTCCAAATAAAACTCTACAATCTTTTTCCTAAAATGTTGCTACATCACCAAAGATACATATTCCGATCCTGTTGCAATTATACGTTTTAACCATTCGATCGGTGTTACACTGCGTAGAATACAGAAACCTTTAGGAGAAAGTCCATATTTTGTAAGTTTTAATATACCGTTTGTACCGAATGAGCCATACACTGATCAATTGTACTGGTCAAAATTCACTGTTTCTCTTTTCTTCCGTTTACTCTGATACCGCAGTATCTTAAAAGGATCAATTGATCAAAGAAACGCTAACACAAACGAAATCTTAAGACAAAACAGTGAAATCCACTCACCTTTCGATTGTCCTCGTTGGCCTCCATGATTTCCAGACCTTTTCAGACCGTGTGGCGCATGCGTGAAGCATGGATGTTCGGTCTCAGTCTCTTTCGTCCGAGTCGGCAGTCAAATATCCCCACGTCGTTGGGCGAAGAAAGATTCAAATATCCCCTCTTCCAGGAGAACAAGATCAGTCAAACGCCCTACCCCGGGGCCAAGAAAAACACTCAAATCCCCACCCCATTCCCTACCTCCTCCCCCGCCGGCTTTACATTGATAGGTGCATAACGATGCGTGGGGCACAATAAACAAGGACTGAATGAACTGTATTAAAATGTCAGATGTCAAACTGGGCGAGACTTTGCAGCCATAAAGCTGTAATCGTACCTCAAAGTGCGGAAAACGTCTCCTCGAAGAGTAGCAGATGTCAACGGAATCGAAATCAAACCCATCGCAAAGTCACGTGTCTGGTAACCTTCCGAAGGAGGCTGGGACAAATGATTAAAGTAATTCCTTCACCCAGTAACCTGAGATGTTGATTAATGTTTAATTATCCAGCAGAAAGCTTTATTAAGTTTGATACAGATAGTAGTTTTAAAATACTGTAGTGCAGAATCCTTAGCGATGTTCTCAACTTAGTTCTTCAGTATTTAACGCTTTGTTTTTCAAAGAAATCAGGTGAGATTAAATATAGCAACTGCTATTCCAGAACTCGGCATTCATCTAGGAGGTAGCCTGTTCACAGACCCTCTATTTTCTCTAAATTAATTTATTTTTCTTTCTCGCGCTCCGCCTTCCAAAAGAAAAATAATAAAACAACGTCTGTTTACAGGCTAAGAGAGTCCTGAGGGCATGTTCCCCCATCAAAGTTTTCAAAGATTAATGTGGTGCTGAAGATTTTAAAAACCCTAAACCACTCCACCCGAACCAAGCGACTCGGTGGAGTCAAATACTGAGTGACCCGATCGGAAATAACTAAAACATAGTCGGGTCTTGCTTTTTTCAAGAAAACCAAAAGTTATGCGTTCTCTCGCGGATACAGCTTCAATCGGGGAAATCGCGAAGACATTTTTCCCTTTAAGCCAACATTACTCTGAATCGCAGTCCTCGCTGTTCAGGAATGTAAATGTGAAATCAGAGTGCGAGTGTTGTCGCGTCGCCTAAGGATTTATAATATATATCATATTCCTGCTTCAGTGAAATATATTTGTTGTTTTGGTTGTGTATGCGTTGCTACTTTTTTGCTTATGTGCAATTCCTGAAACATGACATTAAAATCCACATTGAAAAACATGGCTAATTTGCTGAAAAAAAAAACAACAACAACAACAAACAAAAACACAAAGCTCTTAAGGAAATATCACGTCTTTGAACATGGTAATACTGATTTTTTGTTTTAATTCGACAAATTCTCCCACAAAATGAATGGTTTTGGCGTATTTGTTGCTCACGCCAATATCGTGACGAACCGTGTCACGCAATTATTTTCGCAAAGTTAGAGTAAAACTTAAAGTCTTGCGGGCCAGTTAAAATCGTTTGCCCCGAGATTTTTTGTGATTTTCCGTTAGATTAGTATCTAAGTAGGCCATGGAAGGTCAGTTTAGGAAATTCTAAGTTATAGCGCAACGTTAAAATTGGACATATGTTTTGTTATATTTTAGCTCCGTAGAAAAAGACAAATATAGCCTTTATTTAGCAATTACCTTTGGCACCAAAAATATTCAAGATTTTTCAAATGATTCATTTTTTAAGAATAACAAGGCTTAAGGAAATTGTTTATGCTGGTCAAAGACTCGAAACTACTTGCAGTTTGACACGCGAGTTGATTGAATTTTTGAGAAATTTCGTGTTACCGGAAGTAGATACTGACCTCTGATCTGGGAAAATGGGTTTCCTCGAATTTTAACGAGAGAAAGCTGTGTTTGAAAAAACTAACTACAGCTGGTTTGCTTACTCATTAAGGGTTACCGATGAGCAAAAAATGAAGGAAATTGAATTTTGAACTTGTGCCGACTGTTGGTCGATATTTAGGGAAAGCTGCTCTTAAATAGGGTAGTTTCGGAGAACAAAGGAATCGGCACCCCTCCCCTGTCCCCTCCATTCAAAGTTGGGGTGTTTGTTGTTTTCTATAGGCAGCTAGAACAAGGGCACAACATTGCACGGAGGGGATAGGGGAGGAAAGCTATATTTCCTCGTTTTGAAGTTAATAAAACGTAAAAAAGCCCAGTTTTGGGCGAAGTGTCTCAACTCATTTTGACGCCGATTGTCTGAATCGAAATCTACGCGCTGTTGTCTTATTAGCACCGGTTAGGAGACGGTAACTAGTTGAGATTACTATATAAACCAGGTCGTTTTTCAGAAGATCGATAAGATACCCATATAATCCCTTCCCTGTGTTTTTCGACGGAAAATTAGTTTTGACAATCTTTGTACTCGGTAGTGTTTTTAAGTAATTACGCAGCATACCCACGTACGGAATGATTGATTTTCCTCTGGTAACTAAGTGTGATCGGTAGGAATCGATGGCAGGTCATATATTGTAGCTGAATATATCCCCAGTAAGTTCGAAGTGTTTATTCGAAATTTGGCTAATTGATAAGGGTGGGATGGACGATAAAATAGCCATAATTGCTATGCGCAGGAGAATTTTCAGGAAAAATGTTCCAACTTCTAACGCACAGCAAAGCTGCATAGCATCGCTAAATCTGTGCAGCAGATTCGTTGCCCATATACCCATAAGGGTCTTTGAACAATGTACTTTACAGTAGAAACTATGAGGTCAGGAGGGGACTGGCCACGAGTAACCACGAGTAACCAACTTTGTTCTTAAAAGATAAGGGACCGTTCATTTTTTATGGGGTAGGGGGGGCTGGTGGGATTTGGAGGAGTGTAATTTGAAAATTGTATGACCCCCCCAATTTCCGATTTTTTTCGCATGCCCCCCCCTCATCAGAGTAATTTTTTGGAAGGCCCCCCCCCCCCCATGAATAAAAAAATA